TGCTGACTCAGTTTTGTTACCCTCCAAGCAGAAGCGCTCTTTCTGCAGGTGTAGGCGTTCAGCCCTCGCTCTCCTGTTGCGTTAAGAGTGGGTGAATATAGAAAAAATAGGCTGGACACAGAAAAGCTCTTCAGAATTGTGGGCTCTTCAGACAGCTGTGTTTCTCTCCCCAGCAAACCTGGGTAAGGAAAATATAACAAGGAAAGCTAAAGCTCATAAAAGGATGAAAGGACTTGGTAATGCACAGGAATACAAACAACAGGAAGCGCTCAGGAAAATGAGTAGAAAATGAGCAGATTTTTCTCCCTGTAGAAAAATCAGGGAGGGTGACTCAAGTGCTGGAGATGGTCACAAATGTGCAGATAATGTAGCAACAGGAGAACAAACAGTCCTCACAGAGGCAGAGCTGCCTTCAAGGTAGAAATGCAACAGAAGAAGAGGGAAGCAAGGAGTCTGTTGAGGACAAACATAGTGGGTATGCACTGCTGCTTTTTTCACAGCTTCCCTGTGGCTGGTCCCTTGGGCTGCTATGATGGGTAAGGCACTGGGGACAGACCCTAGGACTCAGAAGTTACAGATACCTAATAATAAAGTACGGGAGATCTGAAAAGAGTGGCCAGTTCTAATTGGATGCAATTAACCTGGAAGCTCCACTGGAATAGCTAAAAGCCATGAATACCAAGGTGAAAGACCTAATGCATGTCTCTAAAATGGGCGGTAGTGGTTCATACCACAACAGATCCAGAAGAAGGAGGACACGGAAAACTGGAAGGGACTCGGAACAGACAATATCTGACAGAACCAGCCTTGATGATGCAAAGCTAATAAAAATAATTCATGGATCTGTGCTGGACCTTGTTACTATGGAGCATGCGGAGAACAAGGAGAAAATATGATCTGAGGACGTTGTCTGGCCCCATGAGCATGAGAAGCCACAGAGCCTGTTCTTACAGGATCGACTGTATTAAGGTTTTACTGGCAGAGGCGGCAGGCAATACAACATATGAAGACTGATATTGCTAATGCCTGCATGGCATTTTCCTCATGCTGTGTCCACTGGAGATGATGGAAAGCTCTGAAGAGAGATCTCTGAGAGACAGGGGCCTGGGCTGTTGGAGAAAAGCAAGTCTGGAGCAGTGCTTACGTGAGTGCTGCAGGAGGTGGGCCTGCCTATTCCCACCCATCTGAACCAAAGGGACACAATTGCCTACAAATAAGAGCCATGAAAGCAGAACATAAATGCTTGCAGGAGGGCATGCTTGTGCGAGACACAAACATCCTCTCCATGGTGCACGGAGCCTTCCAGATCATTTGCCATAACCTGCTGCGGTGCTCCCCAGGGCGCAGGGTTTGCTCTGAGGGGATGCTGCATATCCAGCGGCTCCAGCCATCCGACACTCAGCTGTGCGTCCACCTGCGAAGAGAGCTGGCTGCGTTGGGGAGGCTTTCTTCCCCCAGTCCCTTGCTGTGGTGCCATGGCTGCCCTGAGGGCTGGCACCGTGCACAGCCCTCTATATTGCCACAAATACCCGGTGATTTCCCAGCTGTGGCTGTAGATCTGGGCTGCAGTGTGGTATGGAGAGGATTCGTGGGCAAAGCGCTGTGTCTGCAAATCAGCTTGTAAGTAAAATAGATTGCTAATAACAAGGAGCTTTAAAAAAAGTATTAATAAACCCAGTAGAGAACAGTATAGATACATCACATCGTATAAAAAATGCCTTGCTATTTATGATCAAAACTCACAGTGCTTTTATTTTATGGACGTGGGCCCATGGTTGTTACTCAGGCAGAATGCCCTTTGAAATCAACCAACTCATTAGTTATGTGAAACACTATAACTTTGTACCAGTGCTTGCAAATTATGTTTCTTCAGCCTTTTCCCTGCTTTGTTCTCCAGAGTGGTACTTTAATCCTTTACTAGTCCTAGTAAGATACCCATGGTGAAACTGGCTGGTAATGGAACCATTGAGAGCAAATGAAAAGGGTGAAACTATGGCAAGTCTGGCCTTGGAGCCTGTAGTAACCTTTCAAAAATGTCACTGATGCTTGTTGCAAAGGCATGGTGCATTCTTTTGATGCTTCTCTCCTGCAGCTGGCAAGAAAGCAGAAGGCTGACACAAGCTCTCAGTTTTGTTGTGTGACTAGACTAAAGGAAATTAGATTGTGGACTCACGCCTGGTCTAGAATGAATTTGTTTTGCTGTGTATTGTGGCAGCACGTGGGTGCAGCCCTAGTGAAAACAGGTGACGTAAAACTGTAGTAAGGGTGAAGGTACTGGAGGGGATAATATGTAAGGACAGAGAATTAGGGAGTGCTTTGCTGTGTAAACTAGTAGTTCTCATGCTTTCTCTTCCACTTCTGTGTGTTAGAGTTGTGTCCTTCAACTTTGTTGTTCTGACTGCTCTTTGATAGCGGGGTACGGAAGCAGTATCGCCCATCAGTACTGAGTGAAATGGCACGAGAACATCCCTCCCCCCTCACCAGATGGTGAGAAAACTGGCTACAGGGCCAGCTCTGCGAGCAGAACCTGATGGACACTCTGCTGTTCATCCACTGAACTTTGCTGGGTCCCAGATGGGGTGGAAGGAGCTCTAGGGCCACTGGCCTCTGTTTCCTCCATGATATCAGCGTCCTCACCTCTGGACAGGCTCCATAGCAGCCATCACCTTGCGGGGCCTTTGCAAGGGGCCGGTCTTTCGGCGTCACTGTCACGGGAAGGCAAAGCGCAGTTGGTAACATATGAGCTGTTCTGTCAGCTCAGTTATCACAGGTGGATTTACCTTTCACTGGTGGGTTAATGACTTAGGGGCATGTTGCCCATCTTATGCCCTGGCCACCAGTTATCCACAATGGAGAGCTGCTTGGGTGCACTGTGGCTGCTGAGCGCTGCGCCCTGGTTTTCCTCCCGTGTAACCCAGGGTGCGGATGGGCGGGGAGGGGAGGGAGTTTGCTTCATGCCCAGGTCTCATCTCAGGGTGTACTCAAGTGATAATTGCCTATTCATGTGATGTGCAAAGCATTTTTAGACCAAAAAATAAATAATAAAAGAGAATAGGCACAATTTTCTAACAAGTAATGTAATTTAATGAATGATACACTCTAGAAAATAGAAACTACCCAGATGCTGGTTGGTTGATTGGTCTGTGTGGGTCTGGGGGAATGCCCTTGCTTGGACACACAATGCCTTCTCTGGATTCTCTTGTCAGCATTTGTAGTTTCTGGAAACAAGGAAACATCCGTATATTGAAAGAGGCACTGTAAGGGGGCATTTTTTTTTCTAAAATTTGGGAAGTATGCAGAATGCCTTCCCATCCTGTCTCGTTGGGCAAGTGGCATGAAGGGCTCAGAGCTCATCAATGTCTTTACAGATGATTCATACCTGAAAGGGGTAGAATCAACCAACGGTACGTACCCACAGTTCAGTCCTCTAAAATCATCGGAGACTTCTAACTGCAGAATATCTTGTGGGCTCCGATGTTACTGCACTTCTTTCTGGGTGCTTTTCTGCATGTGTTGTGTCTCTTCCCTCAAGGTCTGGCTGCTAATTCCAGGGAATATGCTTTTCAGAATGTCACAGTACACTGTGTACAGCTCTGGGTCTATTTTGTGCCTGGGCAGAGAGTGGGAGTTGCAGGCCTGTTCAGTGACTGAGTGCTGTGGCAAGTAGACGTCGCTGAAGAGCACAGTCAGGATCTCGTGTGCGGCCTTGTAAGGGTCATCTTCAAACTGCACCATTGCCTTGAGCTCTGTCAGGGTATAGCCGTTGTAACGCTTGCTGTCTTCGGCCAGGGGCTGCATGGTCTCACCAATGTGTCTCACTTTCCACTTCAGGCATTTCAGTTCTTCTTTTACATCCTCTAGTTCTTTCTCCATGGCTTGGAATTCCTTCGTGGTTACAAATCTCCTGCCAAGGAAAGAATTGGCAGACATGGGGTGGAGTTCAGAGGCTCAGAGAGGGGGAAATCAGCCCAGCTTGCCTGGGGTCGGGCCACAGAGCCTGAGGCTTGGGAAAGGAGATACTGGCCATGTCACTGAATACCATCCCCAGCTCTTATCTGTCAGGCTTCATAATAGCAGAGTTTCTCTCTGCTAGTGTAGGGCAAGATGTGCTTTCTCCTTTGAAAGGAAATGAGGCACCTTGAAACTGTGCCCCGTTTGAGGAGCTGAGCTTGTCAGCCTGGCCCAGCAATGGTCCTGTAGTCAGGTTTGGAGAGCTAAGTGAATGTATAGAAAATTTGATATTTTGCTTCTTGGATAACAGAGTTTAGTGGGAGCATAGGGTAGTTACTGGAAAACAAACACTGGGAACATTTAAATCAAAAGAGATATTGAATTTTTTTTTTTATGAGGGGCTCTTGATGACTCTGTACCAAGTTGAGTCGTTTGAGGACTTAAACATGGATATGGTCTGGATACGTACCTTTCGTGATCAGGATCTGCCAGATCTGATTCAAAACCCTTTCCTGTATTCTTTAATCCAGTTTTAGAACAGCCAGGAGACTGGGAACTATCTGCAGGAGTCATTGCTGGAGGCCTTGTGCTTTTCCTGGTTGGGGTCAGTGTGTGATCCAATGCTGAAGCTTGTACGTTTTGTGCTGTGTGAGGACAAAAGGTAGAGAAGGAAGTTGCATTGATCCCTGGGCTGACTGGAGAGGAGTCAGAGTATTGCTGTGCCTTGGCTGAGCTGGGTGTTAGACTGAGCCTGGGGCTGGCTGGGCAAGGTGCTGGAATAGTCCTTGCTCGGAGGGGGCTGGAACATGATGTTGCTGAATTTTTCTCTCTTTGCTCAAATGGTTGAGGGCTTGGTGATTTTCCTGGGGCCAATCTAGTGATGGAGGCAATGTCCAGCAGGGTTTGATCCTGAACCATGGAGATCTGGCTGGTCAGTTCTGATGAAAGTGAAGAGCTGCTTGATGTGACGCTGGAAGAGCTTGACGTAGCGAATGGGGGTATTTTCTGAGCATTATGGTCACTCCTGTTCCTCTGCATGCTAGTCACATTTAGAGCTGGGTGTTGTGAAGCCCTAAAGAAAGACAAACACACACTTTTTCCTCTGGACTGGACTAAAGGCTTGTAAGACATTTTTAGGCCTATTTTGGGTCATTTTTTAGACTATTTCCCATAACCGCATATCCATGTATGCTGATTTGCTTCTGCTGTTTGTATAAAACCCTCTGCTTCTCATGACCAAAAACAAAGTGTTTGAGACTATATAACATAAATTCAGGGCCAGTTTCTCTCTGGTGCCAGCTAAGCGTTTGTCAGCTATCATCAGTGGGATACTCACTGGCACATCAGTGTTCTCCTTCCTGAAAGCCATACAGCTCAGCAAGAACCAAGGATTTGGTGCTGGGAAAGGACAGGAAGGGAAGAGAGTGACTGGTGTATTGACTGTGATGAATTCCAGTAAGCACACGAAAGGACAAAACTCAGCTTGCAGGTTGCCACAGCACCTGCCCTTGAGCATCCCTGAAAAGTGCAAAGACCTGCCTTCACCTTGGACCCGCGCACTTTAGTCTCCTGGTATCTCCGCACGGTTACCCGGTGAATTAGGGGATGAATAAACAGGCGAGATAAAAACAGAAGGGCAGCACAGAATGACATCATTGTTCCTGCAGTGACATTATAGGACATTTCTTTTGTACAGCTCGCTGTGTTAAGGACTTTTCTTTCTCCGCCTAAGCTGTAGATGGTGCACAGGCCTGACCAGCTATTTTAGGTGGCTGGAAATGCCAGCTGCGTGGGATGCCAGACTACTCCTCCTGAATATTGTTTCCTGTACTTTTCTCTTGGCTGCTGCCAGGCAAGAGAGATCCCGATGTTTTGTTGTTTTTCTTTTCCTATGGCTAAATTTTAGTCTGTTTGGCAAGACTGATGGCAAGAGAGGAAGATGTACCCCGGTAAACTGGAATTGTCCTGATGGGTAGTGAGTGCAGCTAGAAATGCCTTGACCTTGAAGGGAAACACAAACATATACCCACTGTGCAGATCATCACTCAGGATTTCTAACAGCCAAAGGACATGACAAACTTTTGCAGCAATATCAGTGACCATCTGAGTCGTCTTGAGCATCTGGTATATTCAGATTCCTCTTGTGGCGGAAGACAGCAGAAAATCCTGGTCTGGTTTGGTTATACGAGTGCATGAAGTCCTGTCCTGTTTGTACCAGTGGCTTGCGTTAGCTACTAACTCACTTCTCCACCTCCCTACTCCTTTCTCAGTGTTGGATGCAATTAAATGCCGAATTTTTAAGGTCCTGAAGAGCATGCCTCATACCTATTGGCTTCAGTAGGGCTAATTAAGGCCTTTGCTCGATCACAGCATAATTATCAGGTTTAAATCAGATTTAGAGGTTTTGTAATTGGAAAAGCAGACAGTAGCAGAGCTACTGCATAAAAACAGAACCAAAAAAGCAGCATAAAATGAGTTATATAAAAGGCAGGAGAGAAAACAAGAACTCACATGTCGGAGGGAGCACCCTTCCCCAGAAGTACCTGGCTTTCATAAACTGGCTGAACAGGGGCGGAAGACAACAATTGCCAACTAGACATAAGGAAAAGCTTTTTCACGCTAAGGGTGTTCAAACACTGGGACAGAGGCCAAGTGAGGTATTGGGATCTCTGTCCTTGGAGGTATTCAGGCTCAGCTTGGCAAGGAACTGAGCAGCCTCATCCATCCTGGTCTAATGGACGCGCTGTGAGCAAGGGGCTGGACTAGAGACCTGCAGAGGCCCTGTCCACCCTGTGTTATGTTCTGATTCAGTCATTCTGCCTAGCTATGAAAATAACTTATTTCCCCCCGAGTTTCCCTTTCTCCTTTCACTTTTCTCCCCTCTGAGTCCCACCTCACCATCCTGCTCTTCCGTTGCAGGCTCTGGGCTGTCCCCTTCCATACTGACTTCATAGTGCCTGCTGCAGGAGAGTCCCTCATACACAAAAAGCTTTGCAAAGGAAAACCAGTGTTTCTTGCAGCCCTCTAGCTCTGATGGTTTGCTTCCCCTTCTTTTCTTCAGCCAGA